ATTGCCACAGCGAAATCAATCACTTCTCTTCCTCGTCCCCTTCCATCAACAGATACTTTGGCAGTTCCTCCGTCACTATCTCCTCATACCTTACCTTATATCTCCCTTCCCGTATCCAGGACGTTTTCTTCTGCCTCTGTCCCTTTTTCTTAGTTTTCTTCACTCTTCTATTGCCGATTCCAGTTATTGAATATCTCACTCTCTTATAATATCCTTCCCTATCTCCCTGTCCATATATCAATCCCTCTCCTTGATTTCCCTCNAATTGTTGATTCATTTGATCAACTTCGAACTGAGATCAATGGTCTCCGCAGAGTGCGCTTTAATTTAAGACGGCGATATCAGGCAGTGTTTTTGAACATCTGCTTTAGTATTTTTTTCTTCTTTTTTATTTATTACTATTTGTTTATAATTTTATTGTTCTTGTTAATATTTTTTTGTTTGTTGTTACCGTGAAAATTAAATTTATAGTTTTGGAAATTACATTCTTTTATTCAACTAAAATAAATTAACGCTGGATTTAACTAAATCTGCACTTAGAAATTTATGCAAATAATGGTTATTAGCTCAGTTCGTTTTTCAATTGTCATCGCCAACTCAGATAAATTTTCTATTAAAAAGTACAAAAATAAATGTAGGGTTACGAGCGAACAAAAAAGTTCTGAGCAAACTAACTTTAGGGACAGCCTGTATAGCATGGTTGTCGCCGCCCAATCAAAGTGAAAATTAGTTTAATGATTTTGCTTGATATTTGTTTACCCTGTACCAAATTTCAACGCTCTATCATAAATGGTATTGAAAATATTTAGAAAAATGTGTGAAAATTTCTGAACTTTGATGGCCCATATTTAGGCCATTTGAAGACTTTTATAATAATTTTTTTTCACGAATCGTCATCATTTTTGCTCTTGTATATGAGGTTAATTTTATGCCCCGAGTCACCGGAACACCCTGTACATACTTAATTATACATAGTACGGATAAAGCAATTCCTCGTGAAGGATTCTCCAAACAAGAGGAGCACTAATTCCTACCTCGGCTGATATTCTCCGCACACTCGTCCCCGGATTACACTCTATCCGTGCCAAAATTTCTTCTTCTGCTCTAGGAGTACATACCAACCTTGATCTTGCTCCGGATAAAGAGCATTGTCTGCTTAATAAACTGGTATCATGCAATCTTTGGTAAATTCTTGCAAAAATACGACGTGAAGGAATCTGGCGATTTGAATAAGCTTCATCATACAGTCTTCGTGCTTCGGTGGCAATCCCATTAGCACGACCATACATGAAATGCATGTCAGTTAATTCTGCATTAGAGTAAACAACCATAGAAAAACGAAAACTTATGCACTGATAACAGTCAATGTTTATTTCACAATATTGTTATTTCACAATGTTAGCCACCTATTATAAGAAAACCATATCTCCGAAATCGTTCATTTGCAGTTTATTAAGACTTTTTTGTTTATTTTGGTTATATATTACCTATTTAAATACATTACATGCATAATACATATACAGGGTGGGCAAATTTGGGTGTTATTATAGGTTATCTATACCTATAATAAAATATGGAGGGTGCTATTTAAAAAAATTAAGTTATGGTACTTCCAAGTTTCCAAAAGTTAACCGTAAATTGACCAAACGTTCTAGACAGCCGTTCTTGGCACCAAAACATACTCCATCATGTTGCTTAAGCATGTTCTGAATCCTAAACTGATATCGCAAAAATCGAGTGTTCTCTGATTTTTTGAACAAATGTCTGCTGGAGCAGATTTTTCTAGAAAATTTATCCTCTATCAAAATATGCAAAAAACATATGCATCCAAAAAACAATACAAACAGGTAAATATCACCAAAAAATGCGCCACAATTAATAAGGAATTTTTTATTTGAAACATTTTCCTTTAAAACCACAAATGGTGAAATTATTGGCTATATTCCAGACATTTGACACACCCTGTATAACCTGTAGTCTCCCTCGCCAACCCTAGTACCCATCTTCAATGCCTTGTTTGCACATCCTCTAGCATTCCTTGTTCTCTCCATCCCTATACTTTTGCTCCGTACATCATTGCGCTCCTTACCAAGCTTTCAAACGTAACCTTTCTTTTTCACACATCCTTCTATTCCCCTTCTCCTCATTGGCACAGCAGAATCTGGCCATCTATCTCTTCCCTTCATCATCCCCCTCCATCAACAAATACTTTGGCAGTTCCTCTGTCACTATCTCCCCATATCTTTCATTATATCTCCCTTCTCGTATCTGTGATCTTCTTTCCCGCCTCTGTATATCCATGTCCCTATCTCTCAGTTCTCTCCACATTTCAGCTCTTTCCACTATTCTGTTTTCGATCCCACTTAGTGAGTATCCCACTCTTCTGTAATATTCTTCCCTGTCTCTTTGCCCATAGATCAGCCTCCTCTCCTTAATTTCGCTCCAGCACTCTCCCAGGATCCTGTAATGTGATCTTGATTCTATCATTTCTTCATACTTCACTGCTCTTCTCCCCGCATTCCCCCTTACTACATCCACCTTAACCTCCTCCCTCAATACATACCCTAGAGTCTTTCTTGCCAATCCCAGTCCCAACCCAACCCATTTCCAATATCGTGTTTGTATATTCTCCAGCAAACCTTGTTCTCTCCATCCCCATACTTCCGCGCTGTACATCATTGTGCTTCTTACCAAGCCATCAAACATAACCTTTCTTTTTTCCACGTCCCTCCCAAAAGTTCTTTCCCCCATCCCCAAACCTGTCCCATCACCCTGTTCGCTCTTTTTGCCATAGCCCTTACATGCGACCCAACCTTATTACCCATATCCCAAGTACTTTTTGACTTCCTCTATCTCTCTTCTCTCCCACTTTCATTCCTCCCTCCTTCACCCACCTTTGCAGAACTTCATTTTTTGTCTTCTCGATGTTTACCTTATCATCTCCATCTCCGCCGCCTCTCTTGTCACGACCATCAAATCATCCGCATACACAAACTTTTTATTAAGTTCATGTGATAGAACATTGAAAACTGTGCAACTTGCCGAGCGTCTTTTAAGAAAAGGTTTGACTTTTTGGATGTCATGTTGCTTCGTACCACTATCTAAAGAAGGTTCTAGTAGTTAGACATTAGACCAACAACTAGAATCAATGGAGTTTAGCCGTGCGTCTCTTAAGACGGAAACTCAGAGTTATCATAAGGACGTCACCTTTTCCAAGCAAAACTTTTCCTTTGCAAAACTACCCAATTGCATAGTAGTTTCATTACTATGGTTGAAGGGCGTCGCTAGAGAGGGGCAGAGGGGGGCCACTGCCCCCCCTAGAGGTAGATTCGAAAAAAAAATTAAAACACAATAAATATACATCTCGAGTACTGAACAACTATCGAATGGGATGCCATATTTTGATCTGGAAGCCAAAGAAGTTCAAGAAGTATTCCTCGGATTCGTCAAACTTGATGCTTTGGATGCGAAATGTATTGCAAAAGTAATAGATGAGTTTTCGGCAGAAGAAGATCTTGATCCGGACAAATGTGTTGGTTTAAGATTTGCAAGCAATCCTACGCAGAAAATATAAAAAAGCTTTGTGCTTTCATCAAAGGAAGGTACCATCAAAGATATTATTACATTTTTTCAAGAATCAGTTTTGAGACGCAAATTGATACCAAATACTTCCAAGCTTTGCGAAACAAGGTGGAGCGAGAAACACAAAAATATTAGTGTTTTTAATTAGAATTTTCCTATTACAATGGAGGCCTTTGAAACCTCGTCACGGGAAGAAAATAAGAATAAATAATGCGACTAGAAAAAACACTTATCAGCTCCATGCAGCAGCTTCTAGAGTTTCGTTTATTCTCAGCTTTATTTTGATAGCCAAATACTCGGCTATGATGAAACCTGTGGTAAACGTGCTCCAATCCGTAGCTTTGAATGCAGTTAAGACATCCCAGCACATTAGCCGCCTTTTGGAATTTATAGAAAACCACCGTAACGGTCCAGAAAACGTCACAAATGGAATTATTAGGGACGCTACTATCGTTGCAGAAAAACTTGGACTGGGAGAAGACATGAAGTCCTTGCCCCGTATTGTTGAGAGACAACAACATCAGAACAACCACCCAGTAGCAAGCCCATCAGAATTCTGGTGGAGGTCTTTAATAATACCATACTTAGACTCGATTATTAATTCTTTTGAAGTTCGCTTTTCTGAAGAAAATACCCCGTCCTTTTCCTTATCTAAATTACACCCAGCTCAAATGTAAGACATGTCCCTTGAAGACCTCGTAGAAGCTGGTGAAGTCTTTTCCCAATTTTACAATTTATCAAATATCAACAACGAAATCGAACTATGGAAAAAACTATGGCAAGATAAACCTGACTCAAAAAAATTAAGTGTTGTGGATGTCATAAAAGATGCCGACATTTTTTTCCCTGAAACGAGAAAAGCCTTTATAATTTTGGTCACTTTACCCTGCACGATATATACTGTTGAACGATCATTTAGCAGCTTGAGGACAGTAAAATCTGGATTAGAAGCACTGTAGCAGAATGTCGTCTCAATGGTCTTCCCATGATGAATATGTATAGGAAGCATATTTTTGAAAACTTTGAGGGTTGACCAATTCACGAAGAAGCCACGAAAATTATGTTTTAAATAATTTGGTCCACTGGCCCACTGGCTGGCGACGCCCTTGCTATGGTTGCTGCATTCATATATTCCCAATTTGTATATTTATATTTTATTTTGAATTTATCACATCCGTCATAATTAATATTGTGTAAATTGTGTATATTTGGTTGCCTACCTTTAACATTTTAATTCATAAGCGATGAGTCACCGCCATATCTCGTGAATAACACTATATTATAATTTATAAAAAATCACTTAACATAACTCAAGGAAATCTTCCTATTTATGAAAAATTTTTAAATATTATATTACATTCGAGTCGGATAACCAATAAAAACAATTTTATTTATAACTACTTTGAACTTACCTCATTTTTTCAATTAATTAATTCCGTTCATAGATGACCCCATAACACCGCGAAAACCTTGAATGTAGTCCACTTCGGTTAATTTTGAATTTAATTCCGCTACAAAAAAGAATTTGAATTATTTAATTTTTCACGTTAAATTTAATGTCATTTTTATCAATGTTGCCAACTTAAATTCCCAAAATAACGTGCGTTCCATTGATGTCTTATATATAATCTAGAGTGCGTATGCTGTTGTCCCCACCACGCCTAAAATGAAGCCAGAAAGGTCGCCATGTTAGATGTACCAACTTAGCGGGAAATTCGAAATTCTTATATATACTTATGCAAGAATTTACATTATTATAAACTGGAAAGACAGAAAATAATAACCAAAACAAAACATTAATTTTTTATTGATAAACAATTACTAATTATATGATATTTTAAAAGAACTTAATAATTTTTAGCCATAACCCTTATAATTAACAAAAACTAAGAAGAAAATATTTAAAGCAATTCCGATTGATTACGTTAACCTTTGCTTATAAATAATTGTTAGTTTATTTAAAAAAAACTGAACAGTCCTTAATAATAAACTTTACTTGAACTTCAATTGAAGACCTTGCTGCAAGAAGGGAGTAGCTCCATTTATCAAGAGAAGGAGTTGTCCCCTTCTTATACCGAGGTCTTTAATTGTTAATTCCAAGTCAAGTAACCAAAAACATTTTATGGACTGTTGTAAATAATCGTCCAACCTATCAAATTATAAAAAACATATGTGAAACGAAAAGAATTCGAAAACTTTCAACAAAAATGAAATTTTAATAAAAATAACGATATGTTTATGAGAATTGTGAGGTTATAATTGTAGGTACAATAGAGACTTGAAACTATAGCTAAGTTCAGGTCGGTACATCCAACATGTCTGACTTTCTGATTACCCCCACCACCACCACATACGCTCTCTAGATTATATATAAGACCTCAATGGTGCGTTCTTATCGAAAAGCAAACATTGATGTTCTCACTTTGTTGACGTACAAATTACGAAACTCCACAAAAAAATCGCTATTGCATCATAACGTAAGTATTTAAATGCGTGAAAAGTACTGAGTAAGACAAGGCGATACAATGTTGAACCCAAATTGTTCATCAGCCTGGAGAGTCCCTGGAGAGTTCTTCTTTATACAAGAACTCATACAAATAAAACCATAAACGCTAAATAATATACCTATTAAGTTTTAATCATAATAACTTGATCTAATCTAAATTACGACAGATTCGTCTGATGATAATACATCTTCGATCGTTAACAATTCCTCATATTTAACATTCATCATCTTCCTCTTTATTTTTTTCGGAATCTGTTATATTTTTACTTGTATCACCTTTATACGTACTTTTTGGGTATTTACCCAGCATCCATCACTGGTTTCAGCGTCTCCCAATCTTTTCTACACAGCCTACACCACTTCACATCGTCCGCCCAGTACCTGATGCCTCTCTGTTCATTGCCACAGCGAAATCAATCACTTCTCTTCCTCGTCCCCTTCCATCAACAGATACTTTGGCAGTTCCTCTGTCACTATCTCCTCATACCTTACCTTATATCTCCCTTCCCGTATCCAGGACGTTTTCTTCTGCCTCTGTCCCTTTTTCTTAGTTTTCTTCACTCTTCTATTGCCGATTCCAGTTATTGAATATCTCACTCTCCTATAATATCCTTCCCTATCTCCCTGTCCATATATCAATCCCTCTCCTTGATTTCCCTCCAGCACTCTTCCAGGATCCTGCAATGCGGCCTTCCTTCTATTATTATTATTATTATTATTATTATTGCTGCCGGGCTGAGGAGAGCGGCCCCTCTCGTTACCGCGACCTATAAGATCTATTGTAACTTTAGCCCTCCAAAGGTTTAGGGTCCTTAATGAACCTTAGTATTGTCCTGAGGTCTTGGACGTTTATGTCGGTAGGTAACAGGGGAATTTTACCGAAGATGTTGTGTCTTAGACGGCCTCTGGCGACACAATTGCACAGTATATATTCAGCAGTTTCTGACTCGTCGTTGCATAGTCGACAAGTTTGATCCTCAGCTTGTCCAATGTGGAGGAGGTGGTATTTTAGGGGCACATGGCCGGTCAGGTAGCCTGAGAGTGTTCTTAGATCCCCTTTGCTGAGGCATAAAACCTCTTTGGTTTTGTTTTGCGACGGAGTTATCATACTCTCTTCGCTTGTCTGTGACCTGGAAGTTCTTTCCAGCGTAAGGCTATCTTTGAAGCCTCCCAGTTGTTGATTATTTGTTTTAGGTGGCTTTTTTGTAGTCCACAACCAGGTTGGGGTCCAATGAAGGGCGTGTTTGCTGCCTCTTTGGCCAGGTTATCGGCCTTCTCATTGCCCTCAATGTTACTGTGACCTGGAACCCACCATAGGGTAACATCATTACCCCTAGCGAGTTCTCTCAGGTTGTTGGTATACTCTCTGATCAGTGCGGAGTCACACGTGTAGGCCTGAATTGCCTGTAAGGCGACCCGACTGTCTGTGAAAATGTTTATGGATGCACCTTTTTGTCCCTTCTGTAGGTTCAAAGCGGTGCAGAAGTTTATAGCAAGAACTTCTGCTTGGAAAATTGTTAAGTCCGAGCTGAGGGGCAATTTGATGTGTGGCCTTCCTTCTAACCTTTCTTCGTATTTCACTGCTCTTCTCCCAGCCTCTATCCTTATTAAATCCACCTTAACTTCTTCACTCACTATATATCCTGGAGTCTCCCTTGCCAACCCTAGTACCCATAATTCTGCGCCGTACATCATTGCGCTCCTTACCAAGCCCTCAAATATAACCTTTCTTTTTTCCACATTCCTTCCAAAACACTTGGTCGTAAAAATTGCACTTATACGACAAAAATGTATTTGTAAAAGAAATTCGCGTGTCTTCCTTTAGTTGCCAATGATTTATGCAGGTTATCATTTATTATTTGCAGTAAGCGCAGTATTTTCATTATATACTTCGAGCTCGTTTTTCTCTCTGTCGTTTTGGTTTCTTAAATGTTCCAAAATTAGTAAGCTTTGTGCATAAATTTATAAATGTTTTTCGATCTGCAATTGGTCTAACGGGATATCGTAGTCTGTATAATCGTATCACTTTAACACAGTCACTATGAATTAAAATCATATTTAATGTATCTTCATTAGTGTGAAAAACTATTCTAAATTAAAATTTTAGCCGTATACAAAATTATCACCATACAATCATTATTTCCATACAACGCATGTCATAACCACCTCAATTCTATCAGTAAATTTCTTCGAAACTTTGGGACTTATACTGTCCCACATAAAATGCAACATGCACTTGCAATTAATTTGTGTAAATTGTGTATATTTGGTTGCCTATTTCCAACATTTTAATTCATAAGCGATGAGTCACCGCCATATCTCGTGAATAACACTATATACATTTATAAGAAATCATTTAACATAACTCAAGAAAACCTTTCTAATTATGGAGAATTTTAAAATATTAAATTACATTCGAGTCGCATAACCAATAAAAACAATTTTATTTATAACTACATATTTTGAACTTACCTCATTTTTTCAATTAATTAATTCCATTCATAGATGACCCCATAATACTGCGAAAACCTTGAATGTAGTCCACTTCGGTTAATTTTGAATTTAATTCCGCTACAAAAACGAATTTGAATTATTTAATTTTTCACGTTAAATTTAATGTCATTTTTATCAATGTTGCCAACTTAAATTCCCAAAACAACGTGCGTTCTTACCGAAAAGCAAACATTGATGTTCTCACTTTTTTGACGTACAAATTACGAAAATCCACAAAAAAATCGCTATTGCATCATAACGTAAGTATTTAAATGCGTGAAAAAGTGCAAGATAACCATTTCCGCGGTGATTTAGCGTTTCGTGTTTCTTTAACCTATAAAAGCCCGAAGTCAGTGACAACCAAAATGGCGCTACCACTTTTGTGATATTTGCTAAAACACTGCCTTTAGAAAATAATCTACGCTCGTTTTCACGCTATATACCATGAAAGATATATTTTTAGCACTAGTTTCTATATTACTTTCGTTTGTATTTGTATTCGCAGCGGTTTTATTTGGTCAGTAATAAACAAAAACAAAGAAAAATAAACCAACAATAACAATTTTTTTTTGTTTAAAACTTTTCGTTTTAACCTTTTCAGGTTGGTACGTTGTGTGGAAATTATTTCTTTCACAATTTCGACTTGTTAGAGAACTCCTGGGTGCTGTAAACGAAAACGGAAGCACAACAGGAGAGGGAAGAACCCCAAGGAGACGATTAAGAAGGGACTGATAAAAATAATAAATCAAAATGAATATTCGATGTGCTCGACCGGAAGATTTAATGAACATGCAACATTGCAACTTGCTTTGCCTGCCGGAAAACTATCAAATGAAATACTACTTTTACCACGGTCTTAGTTGGCCTCAATTAAGTTATGTTGCTGAAGATGAAAAAGGCAATATTGTGGGATATGTTTTGGCTAAAATGGAAGAAGATGGTGAAGATTTAAAACATGGTCATATCACCTCGTTGGCTGTAAAACGATCTCATAGAAGGTTAGGGTTAGCCCAGAAATTGATGGACCAAGCATCCGAAGCGATGGTAGAATGTTTCGACGCGAAATACGTCTCTTTACATGTGAGAAAAAGTAATAGAGCTGCTTTAAATTTATATAAAAATTCGTTAAAATTCGAAACCGTCGAAATTGAACCTAAATATTACGCCGACGGTGAAGACGCTTATTCAATGAAGAGGGATCTTTCGGAATTTGCTAAAAAAATTAAAACACCAGGTAAAAAACATCATTTTTTTTAAAATTTTGATTAATATTTTTTTAAATTTTATGTTATGAAGTGAATTGATTTTCAATGAAGAAGACGAAAAGGATTGGACATTTTTTTCTTTGGATTATGTTTGGAGTGGATGTTTGTTTTTCGATTTAGATGTACAAAGAACTTTTTTTCCTTGTAAATTTGTTTATAACATTACAATAAAAACTTTGATATAAAGTTATTGGGTGTGTTATTCTTAGAAAATGGTAGGATATTTAAGTTAGTGAAAACTTTACTTTGGATTTATTTCAAATTAGTCATGGAAGCACACAATAAAAACTGTAAGAGTTACAAAAGTGATCAAACTAGAACTAACACTACATTAATAATAATATAACCAAGTCGTTCATTATTTTTTCAATTTTTGCATAATCATATTAATCCTGGGTGAGGTTACGAATAATAATTATAGGAATTTATTAGAATTCATTATATATTATTAACCATTTACATTTTTTATTGTATTTAATCCATGTAAAATCGATACGAAATAATTTTGTAGAATTTTGACAGTGACATAACCTCAAATTTCATTTTTCATTAATTTCTTATTGTAATTCATATTTGTTCGGTTAAAACTATTTAAAACGATAATCTTAGTATCTCAAGAACGAAAACCACCCATCATATGGGAGTTTTGATGAAGAATTGGACGAAAATCCGTAGATTAAATATTTGAATATATTTTTGAAGCTGCACGTTGAAATCTAAAAGAAAATGTTCCGAAATCAGCAATACAAAGTTAAGGCAATAAAACTACAACATTTCATGCATAAATATTGTTAAAATAGAAATTTAAATAAGTTTTGATAAAATTTAATTCGTGACATTTGACATTTCGAAGTTGGCGATACCGGAGAAATTTAAATTACGAATTTCAAGTTGAAGAATTTAACCAATCAGAAAACGTTATTTAAAACGTTCTTGCAATAAACAAACGAAATTGGTAGGTTAGAGTGTGATTTCGAACGTGACGAGGAACGCACGCTAATTTTTGTCCTCGATCATTAAACCAAAGCAAGTTAGGTTACTTGTTAATCACCATTGTCACATGACCTCAAAAATAGAAAATTTATTATTTTAACTTATTAAAATAAGAAGATTATAAAAAGAAAATGAACTAGTTCCTGATCCAATTAATCCAGTATACCATTCCGAAGAATTATTCCAATCCAATCATTGTTACCGATTCCTTTTGAAGAGTCCAAGTTTCCTTATCCGAAAACTTCAGTAATCTACAAGATAAGCTAAGTTATAATTATCAATTTCATTATTATTCGTTTTTTTTTATTTTCATTTAAAATTTCTCTTACCTTAAATACGATTAATTTGAGTTATTATTTTGTTTGGTTATGTTATTACAATTTCATTACGTATAATTCAATTATTAAAACTGGTTAATTAATTTACTTTGTATTATCTACAAGTTAAAAGATAATATTAATTATTTCACTGATAGTTCAATACACTTTCCTGAGGCACACCACTATGACTATGAAACACAGAAGAAGAAGATGAAGTGTTACGCACACAAAAGGAACGTTGAGAAAGGTATGACCTAAACCAAGTAACGCACTCAGGGGCAAAGCCCATAGCAGACAGAAACGACACCAGTAAGCTATTATCCACAGCATCAAATGATTTGCTAAACTCCAGCAAAGCTAACAAGGTTATTCGTCGATCGTCACAATTATACTTAATATCATAAGTAACCTTGATGAGTACCGATGTGGTATTGTGGTGGATAATCTGTAATTAGTTTATGTTCATAAAGGTAATCCTGCAGTTGATTGTATTCCAAGCGTTCAAGTGCCTTAGATAATACGGAAAGTATCGATATTGGTCAAAAATCACTTAGGCGAGTAGGGCACTTAATCTTAGGAATGCCAACAACGCAGGCCTGCTTCCAAATTGCAGGAAAGGTCGAAGACTCTATGGAGAAATTAAAGATATGAAGCAATGGGGGAGTAATTATGTCCAAGATGGGAAGGAGTTGCTTAACGCTAACATCGTCAGCACCAACACTTGTAAAGCGCGTTTTTGCAAGAGCGCACAGTGTTAGGAAGTTATTAATAGCTGGCCAAAAATCTAATTACAACTAAACAAAGTTGAAAATGTTTAGTACCATTATAATATCTCCTTAATGGTTAGCTAGGATTTATTTCATCTATAAACATTGCTTAAAACAAAATTTAGGAATTTGAAACGAATATTTGAAACTAAAAGCGAAACAAAGGTTTTGTTGTGGGTTGGGTTGGATGTTTAAGCTAATGTAACTCCGAAAACATGGTACATTTATTTCATGTACCCTAACAATAAATAATATGTACATATATACTATATATATATACAGGTGTCTCACGTAACTGGTTCGGCAAACATTTTTTAAGGTTCCACTATTCAAAGAGGTTGGAAATTTTGGTAGCATAGGTTGTTCATTCATGTTGTTCATTCATTCATGGTCTACTTCTAGTAGACCGGAAGTGGCAGCTGTCTTGAAAATATTTTAGATCGAAAATTCCGAATGAACAACCCATGCTACCAACATTTCAAAACTGTATAAATAGTGGACCCTAAAACAGTTCTTACGAACCAGTTACGTGAGACATCCTGTATACACTGTGTATATAAAGTATGAAATCAATTCGATAAAAGTTTGAGGGACATTCTTCCAGAAAAAAATTCTCGAATATCTATGTTATATTTTTAACGCGCATTTTTTGAGATAAAATTGAAATGTACGGGTGTCCCAAAATTGAGATACCATATTGTTGACATTTTAAAATAGGAACCCCCATTTTTGTGTTACATTTATGGATTCTACGTAACTACTGAGTATTTTTCATGTATCTGTCTTCGAAAAAATAGCAATTAAAAAATACTGTTACTATTTTATTTGCAATAATAGAGTAAACTACGCTATTCTCTGTTTCTGTGTTAATTTGTGACAAATGTTTAATAATGTAATGATAACCATAAATTATGTTTTAACCCATAAGCAAATTTAGTATTTTAACATACTGTTTTAAAATTTTTTTATACCTATATTTATTTTTCTTTGTTCTAATTGTGTTTTACAATTTCAATATTAGTTGCAATTGACGATAAATTATTTCTTTCTTCATCATTGTCAAAGCAGAGAAGGCTTATAAGTTCTTCAGAAAAATCTGTATTATTCCTTAATTTCTTGCTATGAAGTGATGTTATAATTGGAACTGAAGATATTAATAGTCTGTTTAAAATGTCTCTATTATTGTGTATTCTTAACATTTTTCTGGTAAAGTTCTCTCTATACCTTCTAAGGTCTTTATTCCGAGTTTCTTGCACATCTTTTGAAAGCAGGTCAATCTAGATATTTAATGATTTTATTATTAAGTGGCCATGCACAAGAAATTTATGCACTGCCACAGGCATATNAATCTGGCGACGTCGTGACGCGCCATTTGGGCACCATGGGCAGTTCAGTTTATCGCTAGATTTACGTGAACTTGTATCTATATGTCGTTACAAAAATCCTCATATTAACAACTTAGAATGTATTGAACTTGCGTACTTTCCGCCAAATTCAACTTCCGTCTTACAACCGATGGACCGAGGCATAATTAAATCAATGAAAACGTTTTACCGACAAAAGTTATTGTTCAAGTTAGTAGAAGCTATGGATCTGAACGAAAAATTAAAAATCGATATTTTAGATGCCATAATAATGCTAAACAGCGCATGGATAAATGTTAAAAAAGAAACAATAATGAATTGCTTTCGTCATGCATTCGGCAATCTTGCAGAGAGTTTTAGCGAGGAAGATGAAACTCCCTTAGCTAAATCTTTCTAGTTGGGCAGAGAAAAACGGTTAGGAAATAGACGGTATCGATTTAAATTTATTTGCCACTATCGATGACGATGTTACTACTGGTTCCATTCTATCTGACACTGAAATAATGTGTAACGTGTTGAATAAAGATAATGAATCTGACGGTGATCAGATGAAGAG